TCCTCGTCGCTGTAGAGCGCCGCCGGGTCGTCGCCGATGGTGTTCAGGAAGTCGTGGCTCCCGGAGCTCAGCAGGTCGCTGGCCGCCGACTCCATCTCGTCCACCGTCATGTGACACGCGTCTGCGATCTCTCGCTTGGCGAACGCGACGAACTTGGGGTCCCGGGCGTAGAGGCCGAGTCCCTCCGAGATCAGAACCTGGAGACAGAACAGAGCGGAACCCGTCATCTCCACGGAAACGCTCAGGCGCAGGAAGTGAAGGGTGATCAGTGGCGCTCGCCCACCGCCTCCACCAGACTGTCGGCCGATCCCCGCTTCTCCGCGAACGGAGCGCCGAGCTGCGAGGGAACCCTGAGGGTGGTGTAGGCCCGGTACGGGGGCGGAGCTACAAGACAGTCACATGACCCGATCAGCTGATGACCAGTGTGAGGAAGACTGTGTCTGTTTCTTCATTTCACCTGAGCTCCCGGCTGATCCACCGAACCAGGGCGGTCCATCTGCTGTTCCTGCCACAGGAAGGAGCATTAGCCAGACCCTTCACATTAAAAGCCATCGGCTAGGCTTTTATTTTGAAGCCCTGCTTCCTCACCTCTTGCTGCCCCTCCGTTCTTGCCCTCGGCCCCCCAGGGCGGGCTGCCCTCCTCCTCCACCAGGATGAGCGGTGCGTAGAGGAGCCGCCCGCGGCGGGGGCATGGCTTGGCCCAGGACGCTGAGGACACGACGGCGGAGCGGGTGGAGGAACGGCGGGAGTCGTAGCTGCTGAAAGCCTGGCAAGGAGAGGGGCGGTTACCTGGGGAACAGGTGGATGTGTGTCTGGAGCGGTTGTATGGGGTCACCTGAGGTCGTGCGCGGCGCGGCGGTGATGTCGGGTGGTACGTTCCGGGAATCGGCAGGTCGTCGCTGCTGCCCTGCCGCCTCAGACACTGGATGTTGAAGGACGGTTTCCGGCCTGGTGAGCGAAACAAATGCACCGCTCAGCCGGCTGTGATGTCACACCCGTGATGTCAGCTGTGAGTCATTCTGTCACCTGTGGGTGTGGCAGGAAGTAGACGTCTGCGAGTCGTCCTCCTGCCCTCGCTGTAACTGTCGCCATAGCTACCATTGCTGTAGGGGGCGTGGCCATCGCGGTGGTCTCTGTACAGCGACGAGTCGTCAGGGTAATGCCTGAGAACACAGTCGGGTGATAAATAATCCATCCTATCAGCTGCCAGCATTCCCCTGCAGGGTGAAGGCGGGACATGGACCGGTCAAGCTCCGCCCACACACCTGATGACAGCAGCAGGCGCTCCACTAATCTGCTAATGCGCTGGAAGCAGAGCTAATTCTCTGCTTGTTACTTTTGCTAATGTTGAACACATTTAGCGCACTTAGCTTGCCTTAAAATAATTTTTCCAAAGCGCTAATTTACTTGGCTGCTCTGTAAACTTTTAGTCAAATTTAGTTAGCTTGTTAGCGTTCCACAAATATGTTGATAATGCATTTAGCACTAGCTGCTGCTAAATGCCATGTTGTTATAGGCATTAGCATTAGCCTCCCCTAAATATCATGTCTGTGCTGACTCATCATTATGTTTTGCTTAGTTTCCATTGTAAGTGAAACTGTAGAGCCTTGCTGACACCTAGTGGACATTGTTCAGTATTTCATTTGGTCAGTCAAGCAGAACTCGTCCGGCTGTACGCTTGGTGTCATCGACTGTCCTTCAGACACGTTTGTCCCTTGGACATTATTTGTCTGTAAGTTCATTTTATTAATTATTATTCCAGTATTGTGTAATATTTTATTAGACATATTTCTATGTTCTCCAACCAAAATGCAAAGCTACATCATTAGCTAGTTGGTAGTAATTGGGAGCCATCCGTTTGCTGTAGTCTCGTTGTTTTCTGTATTGTGTCTGATATTTGTGCTTTGTTACAGTTTTACAAAACAAACCAGAAAAGAGTTGCAAAATAAAGGACTGGATTATTTTAAACTCAGGTGTTAGCTAGCTGTTTAGCTTTGTAAGAGCAACACATCGTGAGGGCAGCATAGTTTCACTTTAGCACTAGCTTCTGCTTCATACCATGTTGGAAGCACTTTAGCTTCAGGGTTAGCACAGCTAACCTGCATGTTAGGAAACGTACTGGAAGCACTTCCTGTGTGTTGCCTACCTGTCTCTGGAGGTGATGCTCTCGTTGTCCTCCTCTCGGCTGCAGTAACCCTGCTCTCCGTAGACATCCACATCTCCGTTCCTCCAGGATCTGTCTCTGGAGTCTCTCCTGCAGACCAACAGAATATCAGATTTCAGACCCTGAAAATCTAAAATATTTTAAGTTTTACTTTTACAAGAGGAGCAAATGAGGCAGCTTAGCAGATTTGCTAACAGCTGATGATGTCATCAGGACATATTACTGTGGAATATTGTCTTTGCTGCCTAAGTGCTAAGCAGTTAGCATGTTAGCATGAAACTGTCCAGCAGCAGTCTTCAGTCAGAGGCGTTGCAAGACTGACTGCAACTGGAGATCCTTCCTTGGACTCTGGAGATACTTGGGTGGCCTCAGTTAATTTCTCTGTGGGGTAAATGAAACGACACACCGTCCATACTTGTAGTACGACGGTCTCTTGTGGGCGGAGTCTGTCTGGCTGTTCTTCACAGACGCCCGGCGAAGATGACTCACTGACGACCTCACGCTGTCTCCACGACGAAGATGCTCATCATGTTCGTTTCCATTTGCCATCTTGCTGAGCGACCCGACTCGGTGGATGAGACCGCCGTTTGAGACGCCGCCATCGCCTGCAGAGAGAAGCCCCGCCCACCGTCAGCGGTTTGAGCAGTTGAAACAATGCTGATGGGTTGCTCTACTGCCCCCTGCTGTTCATGCTCAGATTGAAGCTGATAGCAAGTATTTGATCATTTTCTTTTTTGAGGTTAAAGGTCATTGTTGGTCTGATTTTAAGAATCTGAGGTTTGATAAGTGAGGATGATGATGGAAGGAGCGAAGGAAGGTTCAGCTCGATGTTTATGATAAAAACCGTCTCAGACTCCCAGACAAATTCAGCATAAAGATTTGTTTTTTTTGTTTGCTTTGTTTCTATATTTATGGAACAGATGTGTGGATTCGAACATATTGGTAGCGGGTTTATTTCGCTGAAAATTGAATGAAAATATTCAACTAAAAACAGTCTCAGAAACATTTCCACAACATGGAGCAATGCTGCATTTTACCAGTAGGTGTCAGTATGGAGCCTCGTCGAGTCTCTGGTCCAGATCCGTTTTCGGCCTGCAGGCAGAGAACAGAAAGTTTGAGGCGGCTGGTCAGACTGCCGGCGGTGAGCTGTGGGCCGGTCGGCACCTTGTAAGCAGCGTTCTTCTCCAGATCTTCGCCGTCCATCAGCGCCTCCTCCTCATCCTCCAGGTCTTCATTCAGAGCCAGACGCATCTCTGGACCCAGATCCTGCAGCGTCTTCAGACCCGCCTTACACAGCTGCAGCAAACACAAAGAAATCACTTTCTGCCTCAGGTGGTGAGACATCTCTGAGTGGTGGGAAACAGTTTCAGCATCAGAACATGACTGAGAACTGAAGAGGACGTAATGAGACGATAAACAAAATGTTTCAGCTTTTTTCTACAGATGCTGTTCTTCCCACTTAAGGGGCCTCATGCACAAAAGAGTTTGCAGTTTTCACACTAAAACGAGACGTAGGACAAATTTAGAAAAGTGCAGCGCAAATAAAAATCTGGATGTATGAAGATGTGCTGAGCTGAGAGCTGCTGGCCTTTCCTTATAAATCCCAATTTACAGGAACCAGAGCAGCTGCTGCTCCGCCTGTCGCCTCCATAAATACATCTTAATGTAAATGAATATAAATACCTGGAAGTCTGCCGCCATGTGAAGCAGTAACCATGGCAACGGCCTTGTTTGTAGCAGTATGAGNCAGAAACAGAACCATCAGAACCAGAAACACAAAAACCAGAACCAGAACCGTTAGATCCAGAACCACCAGAACCAGAACCATCAGAACTAGAACCACCAGGACCAGAACCATCAGAACCATTAGAACCGGAACCCCCAGAACCATCAGAACCAAAACCGTCAGAACCAGAACTATCAGAACCAGAACCACCATAACAAGAACCAACAGAACCAGAACTGTCAAAACCACCAGAACCAGAACCGTTATAACCAGAACCACCACTCACATGCTGGTTGTCCTCGATCTCCTGCAGGGCCTTGATCTCCCTCACTGCCTGGTTCGGGATGCCGTCCTCCAGCTTCCTCAGAGCCACCTTCTTCAGGGCCACCGTCTCTCCTGTCTGACACACAGCAGAGACCTGATGGGCCGGACCAGAACCGGAACCCGAACCGGACCAGAAGCAGACCCAAAACAGCCCCACATACCTCGATGTGTTTGGCCTGGAAGACGATGCCATGAGCTCCTTCTCCGATCCGACCCAGGATGCTGTACTGCTCCATGTCTGCCGGACCGGACCGGACCGGACCGGAGAGGACCGGGGCTTCTCTCTTTAATGAAGAACAACCAATCAGAATCAACCTGGAGTCTTCCAGGTGAGCAGTGATGGAGGAAGAACCTCATGCAGAAATGAATCACTTTACGGAGCTCAGACGTTCTTCTCTTTTCACCTCGAACCGAATCAGTTGTTCTTTTCACGACGACTTTTACAAAACCCGTTAATATCCTTCGGCTGCGGAGAGAAAACGAAAAGAAACGCGGATCTGAAAGGAAACCCCGCTTTTAAGATGACGTGTCGTTATGGTAACGGTGCGGCTAAGCTAGCTGTGCCTCAGAAATGAGACAGGAAGAGCTGTTCCTACCTGGCTGAGCAAAGACTCACACAAACTGATCACTAAACCAGACACGCAGAGGACGTCACCATGGTAACCAAGCGGTAAGCTAGCTGAGACTCAAAGTCTGAGCAGCTAACCTTCTGACGTCACACGGACTTTCAGCTATTGGTCAGAAAACCCAGGAACTTGGTCACGTGACGATGACAAACCAATGCATCAGCAACAATAGTTTAACTTTTATAGAGAAAATGAAACTAAACTTAGAAAATTAAACTTAATAAAGAAAATAAAAATTTAGAAAAATTATATTCTACACAGAGGAGGAGCAGGAGGTTTTTTATGCAACCAGCCTCATAAAGGCACCATCGGGTATTCAGAACAGAGCGATTTACTGGCATCTAGTGATGAGAAAAGATATGACACCCTGGACATTCCTATGGTTCCTTCTGCTTTGCTGAATAGTACTCTACCATAAATAGTTAAATCCCTGGCTAACCAAGTGTTACATTTCTTTGTAATAGATTCAGAACAGGGATAAAATTATTACCCATATTATTGTGGACATTTTAACTCCTAGTTAAGTTACAGTGTTTTTTACAGGGATACCACAAATTTCAGTAACAGCCGCTGAATATAAAGGAAGCATTTCACATTTTTTTAGATTGAGTTTCAATCTTGAAATGCTTGAGAATTTAGCTATAACAGACAGACCTACGGGAATTTCATTAGAATAGCTTAAAAATACTGTTGTATCGTCAGCAAGTTGTGAATTTTTTATTTCTTGATCAAATATTTGAATTCCCTCAAATGAGCTGTGTCTGATTAAATAGAACAAGCAGAAAAAGGTAAGTTATGGCCGGACAGCCTGGCCAACCCCTTCATGGACATTAAACCAGCTAGATGTGCCATATAGAAGTTTATATATTGTCTCTATAAAGTTTCATAAAGGCTTTAATGACAAACCTACCAAAGTTAAAAAAGGACAATGTGTCAAAAATAAAGTTATGAGTAACTGTATGAAAGGCCTTTTGATAATCTAAGAATGGAAAGATAAGATGTTTATAACCAACCATCACTAATCGAATCAGAAATGTTGTGTCCAGCAGGAAGCCGTTTGGAGATTCATGTATATCATTTAAACCACTTTTCAGTCTTTTAGCTAAAATGGAGGCCAAAATGTTATTATTTAATAAAGTGATGCCACGCCAGTTATCTATTATTAAATGGTCATTATTGGTTTCAGGATCAGAGTGATAGAAGTTCTTCTGTCAGGGTTCCTGTGTGTGTGTGTGTGTGTGTTTGTGTGTTTGTGTGTGTGTGTGTGTGTGTGTGTGTGTGTGTGTGTGTGTGAGGAGAGGAGAGGAGATGCTATATGGTGGAAATGGTCACAATTTATTTTATTATACAAAATCACCACAGTAAAAAGCAGGAGTCTCTGCTGGCCCTGGGAACCTTACAGCTGAAAAATAGTTAGATCCCTAATACATAAATTGGACTGATTGGGGAGGAATAGCAAGGAAACCCAAAAATAACTAGACACGTCCAGCTGCTCCCCAACAAAACACTCACACAGAAATCCCTGGTGAAAACCACAAAGGGACAAAGTCCCGTCCTTCAGCCTAAATGAGACATCAGGACCCCAGAGACAGCAGGTCCCTTTGAAATGAGCCAGAGGGCCGATGACAGGGGCCCCAGAAACCCAAAACATACTTCATCAGTAATAACTACCCTGCCAGCATGCCTAGGTGGGCCGCATATGGGGAAAAGGTGGGCAGACATATGGGTCCCATATGGATTTGTCTGCGGGTTCCACAGTGGCCCCACATGGGCATGTAGGGCCACAGCCCACATGGGCCCTACAGCTGAAATATCCATTCTCTCCTCTCCTCCCCCCATAACTTTGGGAAATAAAAAGCAACTGTTTCCAAAGTCTCAAAAATTAGTATATGTGATGGTATACTAGACATTTCCTTAATCCAGTAATCTGTCATATTTTACATTAGAACGGGATTGACCAAAAACTTTACACTCTGATCTTTTCAGGAAGTCTTTATTTTGGTGCCGTGCTATCGGCCAGCTTCCCTCCTCCTTTATCAGAAATGAAAAATTATAAATGCACACTACGTGTTTGTTGACTGACTTATTTGTCAGGTTTACGAGACAAAAGCTGAAAAAAAGATCGATTCTCTTCGCGTTTAAAATAACACAAAACAGCGTAAAAAGACCTCCACACAGGACCTCGTTTATTTATGTATGTATTTTTATTTTGATAGCTGCCGATTAAACTGAAAGTGACAACATTGACATGATTATACGAGTAGTTTTTACCGAGAAATCGATCAGAAGCGCCGTGAAAATGGTCAGATCCGCCGGATCCACCTCTCTGGCTGCAATGCGCGCTCCCGACACAGGGGGGCAGATTTTCCCACAAGACCTCGATTCCCCCCGCCGCCTGTCGCTAGTAATTATAGCAACAGTGACGGAATAAACATCTAGCACTGCGCTTAAACCACAATCTTGCAGTCTGTTGTTGCTATTTCCAAATATTCAGCACAGAAAAAACTTATCTTGATTGTCCTTTAGTTGTCTTTTTCCTCGCAGTGAGGTGAGACCGTTAGCAGTTAACGGTTCCCAACCACTAAGGCTCTATGATCCCGGTTTTCTTAGCTTGATGGTCGATCTTTTTTCTTTTTTCTACAAATGGATGATGTTGAATATTTCTCCAGTAGCAACAGTCAGACGATCTCTGATGAATTTTCTCTAACGGTGAACAGAAGAATCACAGCAGAATCCTGTCTCTCCGCCTTTCCTCCTCTCTGCCAACCGTCCAAGTCAGCTAAAATGATTATTTTTTTTTTTGTTTTTTTTGTAATAACTTTATTTCAGACAAATAACATGAATATACATATGGACGTAAACTCAATGACAAATATTAAAATATAATAATAAAAACAAATAGTAAAGAATAATTACAAACATTCAGGGTGTTGCTGTTAAAGTCTAGAGACACAGCTAAAATGATTAGTTCTCAATGTTTGTTATTCTATTAGCTTCTCGTTGTTCCTGTCCTGATCCACCAGCAGGGGGCACTATGGGGCGCTAATCCACCAGCCACCAGGGAGAGAAAAGAACAAGAGCAGCTTCCGGTGTTGTGTTAGCAGCATGCTAGCTATGCTAACAGGAGGGTTCGGGTTCTAGAAGTCCTCTTCGGGATAAGAAAATCTCATCTGGGTCGGTTCTGGCGTTCCAAAACTGGAACCGGAACCGGAACATGATGGCTCGTCCTGCTGGTTCTGCCGGCTGTCTGGACCAGAAGGTTCTGCAGTATGAAGCTTTCATCAACGACGTGCTGAGGAGAGACCTGCGGTAAGCCTGACCCGATGTTACTAACTAGACAGAAACACGTTTGATTCATTCCGAATCCGAACCGAACCAGACCGGACCGAACAAATCGGAAGTTAGGTTGAACTGATTTAAAGAAGAAGCTGAGTTTCTGAGCAGAATCGGATCAACTGAAGGTTCTGTAGGTTCTACCTAGCAGACGTGGATCGGAACCAGAAAGAACCGCAGTCCGCGGAGCAAGCGGCGTCTATCTCCAGGTTGATCCGACTTATGAGCGCTAATTTCGGACAGCCCTTCTCTCCCGCTCCCTGCCAGGCGCTCGGAGGTTCAGTTAGGTTCTACAAATTTCCGAACCAAACACTGAGAAGCAGATGCAAATAGATTTCTTGCTTTGTGACCAACTGGCACATCATTTTTATTCTATTTTCAACCTTTTTATTCCTTGTCAGTGGAAGTACCAGGGGTTTTCAGGCTCTAAAGTCCTATTTATAGTTTTCCAGATAACAGTGGAACACAAAAACACTCACAAATTACCAAAGGGTTTTATTTTGTACTGTTGTAGCCATTAAACAGTCTCAGTTCAACCTTATAAGTGGAGACACATTGTTGATGTTACCATTATAAAATAACTTATAATTAAGTTTTGGCAAAGATCAATGTAATTTTCACAGGTGGTGGAGCGTTGTTGTTGTTGTTGTTGTCAGCAGCTGCTGAAAGTAACTAAAAAAGTTACTTTTAATGGAACTTAGTTACTTTCCAAATAAAATAATCAGTAATATAACGAAGTTACTTTTTCAATGAGTAATCAGTAATCCCATTAAAGTTACTTTTTCAAAGTAACTATGCCATCACGGGTTCTGACCCGGTTCTGGTGGTGTGTCTGCAGGGCGGTGCTGGAGCAGAGGGATCGTCTCTATGAGAAGATGTCTCACTACCTGCAGCTGAAGAACGCCATCCAGAGTCTGGAGGTAGCTGCACGATCCTCCATCAAGACAGAGGTCTCACTCTGCCACCACTTTCCTTTCTCCCTGATATAAACGGCTCCTCACGTGTTCTCCAGCAGGGGGCGCTGTGGCCTCAGCAGCTTTCAGGAGTTGGATTATAATCCCAGTAGATAAAATGAAAGTATAACCTGAAATCAGAAGCTGCCTCTTAGTTTTATTTTTTTTCTCTTGAATAAACATGAAGAACAACCAATCAGCTCTTGATTGTCGTTTCTCAGGATTATTGATCTTCTGTCTGAAGAGCTGATCAAATAAATACCCGGAACTGATTTTCAGATCAGATAAAGAAATATTCTTGATTTTAAAAATTTTTTCATTTAATTTATTAATTTATGAAATTTAAATACTTTTTTTATTAAGGGGCTGCACAGTGGTAGAGCTGTTGCTTTGCAGCAAGAAGGTCCTGGGTTCGATTCCCGGCCCAGGGAGTCTCCATGTTCTCCCTGTGCATGGTGGGTTTTCTCCAGGTACTCCAGTTTCCTCCCACAGTCTGAAAACATGACTGTCAGGTTAATTGGTTTCTCTAAATTGTCCCTAGGTGTGAGTGTGGTCGTTTGTCCTGTGTGTCTCTGTGTTGCCTAGCGACAGACTGGTGACCTGTCCAGGTGACCCCGGCTCTCACCCGGAACGTTAACTGGAGAGGCAGCAGCTCCTCCTGACCCCACTAAGGGACAAGGGAGTTAGAAAGTGGATGGATGGATGAATTTTTTATTATTTTACTTCAAAGGATTTTTCTCAAATCTTTTCTGTTTTTAGACATTTAATTCACATTTATACCTTGGGCACCTTTCATTTTGATTTTAATTTCTTCTACATTTTATTTGTAAGTTTTCTCCATGTTTATATGAAATACATTTAAGACGTAAAACTCAGACATTTCTCACTTTCATATTGTGTAGCTGTAGTTAGCCATCTGTGACGTCACTGTGACGTCACGGTGTGTTCCTGCAGGAGGCGGGGCCTCAGCGGCTGAAGGCAGACGTGGATCTGGGCTGCAGCTTCTTCGTTCAGGCCCGAGTGTAAGCCCCGCCCCTTCCTGTGGCCATGTGACCCGGACGGCGCCTGGTGTTTATGATCCAGACTCTGGTTCCGGTTCGGGCTCCGGTTCTGACTGGCTCGTCTCCTCTCCTCAGGAACGACCCCTCCAGGATTCTGGTGTTGGTCGGGTTCGGGTTCTTCGTGGAGATGAGCCACCAGGAGGCGCTGCGCTTCATCGACAAGAAGACCAATCAGCTGACGCTGTATGCTGATTGATATTTTGGAAATTTTACTTCCTGAAACTGATTTTCATATTTTATTGATTTCTGTTTTTACTTTGTCTCAAATTATTCAGGTTTGAAAAGTTCAAAATATAATTTCTGCAGATGGAATGGAATGGAAAAATTTCCCTGCGATTTTTATGCTTTAGCAAGATATTTTTATATTTCCAGATTTTAAAAATATTTTTACTATCAAATACTAAAATATTGTTTAAAACTATAAAATGTAAAAAATTAAATTTTAATTTTTTATATACTTAAATTTTAGCACTTTATCAAGTTTTTTAAAACATCATTTTTGTTTTGTTTAAAATAGTATTTTTTTTTTCTTTTGAACATTTTGATACTAATTTTAAAAATTGAAGAAAAAAGTCAGCTGAAGAGTGAGACAAACTGTTTAATCTAGAATGTTTTTCTGTTTTTCTCCACATCAAACATAAATATTGGAGATTTCTTATATTAGCCCAAGTTAAAGCAAATTGATGTGATAAATAATTTGTTTTATTTTTCCTGAATATTCAGCAACATCTAAATGTCAGATTTCTACAGGTTCAGTTGGGTTCGCTAGATGCTAACAGGATCCACTGGTGGACCAGATGAGAGAGGCTAGCCATGCTAATATATGCTAGCTATGCTAATGAGCGAGGCTAGCCAGGCAGTGATATATGATAGCTATGCTAATGAGAGATGCTAGCCATGCTAACTCTGTGTTTGCTTGCAGCTTCACTGAGCAGCTCACCAAGGACGCCGCCAAAATAAAAGCCCATATCCGGATGGTGCTGGAGGTCAGTTCATCTGTAGAACTGGACCAGTTCTGTGCCGGTTCTAATCACAGTCTGACCTGGTCCCAGTCCCAGTCCCAGCAGAACCAGTTTGTCTCTGGGCAGATCTGATTGGCTGCTCTCTTCTTCTGTCCAGGGTCTGCGGGAGCTGCAGGGGCTGGAGGAGCTCTCAGACGTCTGCAGGAACTCTGCTGCTGCTGCTCAGCTCTGATTGGACGATTAGGAGGATGAGGATGAGGAGGACGAGGAGCCTCTTCATCCGGAGGCAAATTATCTCCAACTGGACACACAGTGGAACCAACTTCTTCTCAGATGTGAACTGAAACATTGATGACATCTTCCTGTTGCTGCTCAAACAGGAAGTCCTCCACATCACTGAGACCTTTCAAAATACAATGTCAGGAAATGGTTTTGTCTGGTGAACAGAGAAGCAGCTGAACTGAAGCTGAAGAAACAAACATGAACAAGTCCTCATCCTTTTGCTGTTTATTGTGGTTTTAATTGTAAATTTAATAAAAAAATTGAGAATATTTTTGTTCTGGTTGATTTATTATTGAATGATTATTGTATGTTTATTTTTATTACTTGATTTATTTTATGTGTTATTGTGTACTATCCTGGGACAAACAAAATTTCCCCCCTTTAAGGGATCAATAAAGTATTTTATTTGAGATTTTATTTAAGTGTGTTTGATTTGAAAATGTTTCTCCTTATTTTATCATTTCTGACCACTAATACAGATTTATAGAAGTTCACTAAAATGTTATGAAGTTTATTTTATGCTGATTTCCAACAGATCCAGTTTGTAATCCAGATTAATTAGAACCATTCTGGTTATTGAACCCTGCAGGCTGGTCTGGTTCTGGTCCGGTTCTGGTCTGGTTCTGGTCCAGTTCTGGTCTGGTTCTGGTCTGGTTCTGGTCCGGTTCTGGTCTGGTTCTGGTCTCGTTCTGGTCCAGTTCTGGTCCAGTTCTGGTCCGGTTCTGGTCCGGTTCTGGTCTGGTTGGGCTCTTTAATATGTTTTATAATTCTTGTTCTTTATGCTGTGAATATTGAGAAGATGTTGAATTATTAGCTCTTTGATGCTTTATAAATAAAACTTTTGTTTTTGTCACATTTTCTGAAATCTGATGTTTCTGTAAATATTCTTTTTTTTATAAAACATTGTAAGAAATTTAACAGCTTTGTTCTGGATTTCTATTGATTCTGTAAAAGCGCAGCCTGCTGGGTTCGGAACCGGCCCGGTGCTGGTCGGTCCAGTGTGTCGGGTCTCACTCTCAGCTGCTCTCACAGATGCTTGGCAACGTGGAGCTTGTTTCCATGGTAACGGCTTGCTGAATGAGCCGCAGAGGAAGAAAACAGCAGCTTTTAAATTAACATTAGAATGGACTGAACCGGGTCGGACCAGAACTGAAATAGTTTGGACCTTTTCCATCTCAGCTGCCTCCTTAGGGTCAAAGTTCACTTTCATCTGGATTGTTATGCTTCTTGATTTTTATTTTATTTCTGGAAAGGAATTCTGACCAACTCTTCTCTTCTGAACTAAAATGCAGATATATTTCCTTTTTCTGATACTTTTATTAATTCTTCACATATTTTGTTCAGATATCTGTTGGTGTTTGGTGTTTAAGATGCTTTTTTAAATTCAGATTAGTTACATTTGTTAACCATTAATTTATTTATTTTTTTCATTCATGAGTTTTTGATATTTCTTTAAATTTTTCCAGGATTGTAGGTTTTATGACCGGAAGTAAAAACCAGAATGAATCTTGAAGTTTTATTTCCAGATTAATATAAACTGGAAATAAAATCAGATTAAATTAATCTGCTTAAATTCTCCTCCGTGAATTTAACACCGAGGTTTTTCTCTGCCTTGCTTTGCGGCTCCTGATGACGTTTCCATCCTGTTGCCGCAGAAACAATCCCGCATCAAATGTCACGCTCCTACCGGAAACTATATCAAAACACACGGACTTCCCTTCAAAGTAAAGGTCTGTATCGTCCTGTCGGGTGAATGTCTGCTCCTTGGGGTCAAAGTTCATTGTGCTGGAAGTGGTTTGAAATGAACCCAAGAAAGCAATGTGGTGCATTTCTTTTCCAAAGAAAAATATATAAAACTTCAGATATTTCACCACGAGATATTGACATACCTGGAAAAACCTCCTGAAAACCTCAAATAGTAGCAGAAAGTAGGATGTTCCCGTAAGAAAGGCTTACAGCATGTCTGTGCTGTAAGTACCGTTTTTTTTTTCAACTATAAGCCGCTACATATTTTCTGCTTTGAACCTTGCGGCTTATAGCCCAGTGCGCTTTTCTGTGGATTTTTCTTCAACCACCAGGGGGCTTTTTAGCAGGAAGTGAATCATTAGAAGTCAAAATAGAAAATCAAGGAAGAAACTGCTGATTTTCATTTAGAACAAGCACATGCTAGAGGGAGGCACGGTGGAGAAATGTTTTCAAACTCACAATCCCTCATCATGGAAACTTCACAAAGACGTTCATATGATGCAGCTTTTAAATTGAGGGCTAAAGATCTGGGAGGACAGGAGGGACATGGAGCCGCTGCTCGTCCGCTCAGCGGGAAGGAATCCATGGTTGGAGATGCAGGGCTGCGTCCTTAATAGCAGCTTTTAGCCTGGTGCGGCTTATAGTGAGGTGTGCTCTATAGTCCGGAAAATAGGTATATATTTTATTTAAAATGTGCTTTCAGGGCACATAAGGTCACCTCACAAAAATAAAAAATAATACATTTAAAATAAAAATAATCCAAAGTAAAGAGTAAAGCTGTCTGGATCCGACCTGCTGCAGCAGCAGAGCCTCCAGGTCCAACCTGCTGCTGCAGCAGAGCCTCCAGGTCCAACCTGCTGCTGCAGCAGAGCCTCCAGGTCTGACCTGCTGCAGCAGAGCCTCCAGGTCCGACCTGCTGCAGCAGAGCCTCCAGGTCCGACCTGCAGCAGTAGAGCGTCCGGGTCCGAACTGCTGCAGCAGTAGAGCGTCCGGGTCCGAACTGCT